AATAAATTTCCTCTTTGGAAAGTGGCGGCACAGATTTCCCCATGTTGTATGGATACGATAGTGAAACACGATGTACGGATAGGGTTAACCAAACTTTGCAGAGTACACCTGTGTCTGTGGTGTGTAACGGTTAGGTGCTTCACTGTTAATCCAGGAGGCTCGAGTTCAATTCTTGAGTTGGGAGAAATTTTTGTCTAATACGTTGTACCTTGATCTTTGCGCTGGGATTCGGGATGTTGTACAATACAATGTGTCCTCCTCAGTCTGGGTTGGCCCAACTAAATGATCTGAATTGTGTTGATGAAGGCATAAAATATAAAACACATCTACATGAACTCATGAACAAATGTGAGGCATCATGGTGACATCAGGTGCTCATCAAAATGAAATTGGCGATTTTGAAAGTTTGGCAATTTTTATCAAATGTTTTATTTTCGGCTCAACACCTTTTAGTTTTATGTCAATTTTAAAACATTTCAGCCCTATTGAAAAATATTGATTGAAGGCACAAAAAATTTTCAGTTTCCAAAGACTCAAGCTATGGAAGTCATCAACCTTTTGAGACCTTTTCTCATTAATTAATTGTACCTCTGCTTCTGATACTGATATATATACCTAGCATCTGAGTTTGTTGCGGCCGCGATTTTTGGCTTTTTTGGGGGGTCCGCGAATATTGCATTTTTCCAACTAAAAGCCACCGCCGGGAAGAAAAAATAATTTTAAAACAAAAACGGGGAATAATACTCGTGAAAAAAAAAGAAACCAAACCTCTTTACTTTTATAGAAAGAAAGTTTATTTTCACTTTCGCCTCTTTCTCACTTTTTAACATTACGTTGATTTGCTATTTTTATGTGAAGAACGAAATTAGGCTACATTACAAACTATAACTGTTTCTCTTTCATGCTTCCCTCTTTGTTGTGTTTTATTTTGTTGGTGTGTTAATTTTTTTTCTCGTTATTGTTCTGATGCGTTGTTTTTACATTTTTTGGGTGTTTATTTATATATAGCGTAATGTTGTTCCTACCTTTTTTTAAAGTGTTATATTATTACAGCGCGTCTCCACCAAAAACGAATACTGTCACTGGCAGGCCCCTTGTGTGCGATTCCATGATCTACATGTTAGATCCTGTACTTTTTCTTCAATTACATGCGTTTAGGGTTAAAACGGCCGCTCTATGGATTGGTTGACACACGTCCATATTTGTTAATTTTTCTGGTTGTTTGTTGTTCTAATTTTGATTTCATTCTTTCTATTGTGAAACTGAAACCTTTATTTTTCACGTTTTTACACTCTGTGTGGCTGCAAATTATATTCTGGATGCTTAAAACAGACCACAAGAAATCCTGGTACTTTAGATTAAGTTATCCCTATCAACATTGCTATATGTTGTCACAGAGAGCTGAAAGCTTGAAAATTAATAGCAACTTTTGGACAAAAAAAGGCAACAAACGCAGATGCTAGAGACGTACCAGGCGACCTTTACCTCCTTCAGTTGCAAATATCTCAACTTCTAATTAAGATAAATGGGTATTTTAAAAAATCAAAATCAAGGCAAATAAACAGGCTATAAACTTTATGTAAGATGAGACGATAACTCCATATATCTAGCATCTGCGTTTATTGCCATTTTTTTGTCCAAAAGTTGCCATTAATTTTCAAGCTTTCAACTCTCTGTGACGACGTATTTGCAATTGCAATATGTTGACAGAGGTAACTTATCTAAAGCACCAGAATTTCTTGCGTTCTGTTTTATGTAACCAGAATATCATTTGTAGCCACACAGGATGTAAAACGTGAAAAATACAAATTTCAAAATAGAATGAAATCAAAATTAGAACAGCACATAAACAACTATAAAAATTAACAAATAAAGACGTGTTAACCTACCCGAAGATTGGCCGATTTAACCCTAAACGTGTTTAATTCAAGAAAAAGTACATATTACTTACAAGTAAATCATGGAATCACACACAAGGGGCCTGCCAGTGTCAGTATTCAGTTTTGGTAGAGCATAACACATCTTTAAAAAAAGGCAGAAACAACATCAAATTAAATAACATACGCTATATAAACATAAAAAAAGCGGCTCTCGTGGCCTACAGGTTAAGTTAAGGTGTTCACCTCTCATTCAAAGGTCCCGGGTAGCGTCTGAAAATATTTTCTTCTCTAGAATTGTCTCCTTTCACCTCCTGTCCTGCTCTCTAACAATGTTCTGTCCTCTGCTTTCGTCTCCTTTTCCTGTCCCCACCCCCTCACCTCCTTTGCCCCCTCCTCTGGGCTCCTGACTCTTTCTGCAGCCTTTCTACTGCTACTCCTTGGCTCCTTCTTACTGCTGTCTTTCAGCCACACCCCTCATCTTCAGGTAGGAAAGATCTGCACACTAGCCATCTCGGAAAAGGGCGAAAACTCTTGGAGGTCCCGTGTGCAAGTTGCGCACGTTTAAGATCCCTTGGTGGTCTAAAATCGATAAGAGTAGGTTTCGGCCGCCACCCAGGCAAAATTCAAAATTTCCAACCAACTGAAAAAGTTTAACGTGCCATGCACGCTCATATGACCTTATGCAGTTGCGAGCGCCGTAAAACACTTACCAAAAACCCCCCCCAAAAAACCTTAAACCCCCCCCCCAAAAACCCACATCAGAATAATAACAAGGAAAATTAAAACACAATAAAGAGGGACTAATTAAAGTTAAAGGGAAACAGCAATACATAAATTATGTAGTGTAGCCTACTTATTCTTCACATGAAATTTCATTGAAAATAACAAATCAACGTGGTGTCAACAAGTGAGAAAGAGATGAAGTGAAGAGGAAGGGAAACTAAATTTTCTAGTTTTTCTTTCTGAAAGTAAAGTTAATGAGGTTCGGTTTCTTTATTTTTGGGGTTATTGTATGTTTTCATTTTTAGTTTCTCGACTTTTATTCCCCGGAGTTTGTTTTTAGATTTTTTATTCTCAAGCGGTGGGGTTTTTTGTGTTTTTTTGAAAAATGCAAAAATCGCGGGGGCGATTCGTGGACCAAAATTTGCCAAAAATCGCGGCCGTAATTCGCAGGTCGCGACAAACACAGATGCTAGATATTTATATGAGCGCTTGATTCCACCACGTCGTGACACAAGATTTGCAGAACGCCAGTAAGCTGTTGCTTAGTGTGCATTCTGTTGATGAGATGAGGAAGCGTGCTGACAATCTGTCCCCGTACTATTATGCGATTGTGCGGCCGCGTTTTTTCGCGTAATACTGCAACATTTGCATAATTTGGATTCCCCGCGTTTTTTCGTTATTTTCCTTTGTTTCTTCAAAACAATATTAACGCCTCGCCGTGTGACTTAAGGGAAGTAATCACTGTAAATAAGTCTCATTTAAGTGAAAAGTTGGTTACTTCCTTTGTTAGAAGATCTTGGTTAGTTATGGGTTGGGGTTTGTTCCTTGAGCATGTTCAATTTTTCAATCCATCAAAAGTTGTTGTTCTCAAGTCTGCTTATGTTTCATGTATGACAGGTGTCCCTGGTTTTAGTAATGTGCCAGCATCAGAGGTCCAGATGTCCTTTTTAAAATTTTTTTTTTTTTAACATTTTTCTTTCCTCTCTATAGAGATCTAGATCTACAGCTGACAGTTACAGTACAGTACAGAGATTATATTTTTTGGTTGTTTTTTTCTGACTGATGTGTATTGTTTTCTTTCTAAATACACAAAGAATTACTGATACTGATATGTTCTGTTTTCAATTTTTCTGTAGGCCTACATAAAACATGAAAATTCTTGCTGAAAAAGTGCAAAACATGTCGCGAATGGTGTTACGGTAACTTGCATAATTTTGCTCTTTTTTGTGCATAATTTGGCCATCTAAATTTGCATAATTCTACTGGGACAGGACAATACATGTACCACACGGACCGGATATGATGCCTGCTGCAGCAGCGTCAAAATATTGCCAAAATGAAATGTCACTTCCCCCTTCTTGGTTTTCCTTTGATACAGTGGAGTCCACTTATAACGAGTCCTGAAACAACGAGAAGTCTGTTATAATATAAAGACACTGTTCTAAAACCCTGTTTTTTTTCCTTCTTTATATTTGTAAATAAAATACTGCTATTGCGCAATCAGACCGTCATGCGAGTCGTTTATAACAGAATATTGCTGCTGCTGTGCACAGCGCACAGACCAATCAAACCTATAAAACTAAAACCTTGCCAGTTGAGAAAGTTGTCGGTGATCCAGCGAAACAAGGAATGGGAGAGCCCACGCGAATCAACAATGAAGGCCGCAGTGAATGAGTGGGGAGGGTGTGGCATGCGCAGACACAAGCAGAACGCATCGCGTGATAGGCCAGCCCAGTCTAGATTATCTAGGCATACCGTGCCTCTCACTTCTCTGGTGCGGGATGGAGAGGTCACAATGCTGTGATAGATGGATGGAGTGAATGTGTGACGTGCGTGAGCAGACGCAACGCACTACAGGGTGTGGTGGGGTGGGGGACAACACTGCGGGCGAGTTAGCCTAGAGCCAGAGCCCCTTCTTTCTGATCGCCAAGGCCGATTTGTCAACATTGCTAGTACTAGAGAAAGAAACCTGATTCGATTTTTTATCAATTAAGACCTTGAGATCATGTTGAAAAAATCATCATCAGGGGAAACACAAAGGAATAAACAGAACGCCAAATTATAGATTAGACCTACTTTACTATTTCCCTTGAATTTATTACTGGATCCCTTTTAACGAGAATCCTGCTATAACGGACATTTCGCACCGGCCCCCTCCCTCTCGTTATACAGTCCGTGCCGGCTTTAAGCACGCCGGCTTAAATCACGTTTCGGACTCAAGCACGCTAAACGGCTCTTATCGAATTTTTGCCATATAAATTACACGCCTTTAAGCACGGTAACTTCGGCTTCAAGCACGCTTCATGTACAAGGGGGGGGGGGGGGGGGGGGGCTCATATGTATCGGCAAGAAAGAAGTATGGTGAACAAGAACATACAAAACAAGAAAAAGAGGTAATTATTGACTGTCATCAACCGTTTTATTACAGAACTATCAGATAAAACGATATTGTGAGCTGGCAAATTGTTGTAATTGCCTTATGCCTTGTATCCTCTGCTCTTCCTGCGACCACGAGCACGCTCAAACTTGCGGCCCTTGGAGCGCACAATTGGTCTGAAATAAGAGAAAAAGAAAAAAGAAAAGCATTACGACATAGTAAAGTACAATCAGTGTCACAATAAAAAATAACTTGTAATAATTCTGTACAATTGTAGCTCATCGATTAAGATCTAGTTCTAGATGATGTAAAAACCCCTGAAATACAGAAATAGTTGTTTTAATTTTAGTAGAGGTTTTACACCGCTCGCAACTGCATAAGGTCATATGAGCGCCAGAAGATTAGAGGTTTTACAAGAGAATAACAAAACTTAAAAAAGAAGAAGAGATAAGGATGACAGGTGTTTCATAGGAAAGAAGAAGCAAACCACACCAGAGCACCCGCCAACCACCTACACAAGTAGTTGAGATGAAAAACTTTAGTGATGTAAGAATAATAAATAGCAATTGTATAGTGCATATATACCTGCTCGCCAGCAAGTTCTGTGTGCTTTACAATCCATATAATCACCCCAGCAGACCCAATCTCAACTTCACAGGAAGTGTCATACAGTGCAAGCAGCTGTTTAAGTGCTCAAACACTAACAAACTGACAAGATCTTTCACTGTTCTATAACAGGATACCCATTCCCACCTGGGTGATGTAAAGTAAAGTGCATCTGTCTGCCTTTCTCAAGGACACAACATCCGGCCTGGGCTTGAACCCCCAAAAAACCCCCCCCCTTATGTTTGTTGTGAGCCTGAGAGCTTCACCACCACTAGACCACTAGTGCCACACAACTACTTTCACTTTGGTGACCTACTAGATGTGTGTCACTTTGCTTACAAACAATAAAAAAGTAACATCCAAACAACTAGATCTAAGTAAGGATATCTGAGAACCTTGTAATTTAGTATCATGATAAGTAAAAAAAATAGGCATCTAGATCTGGTCCTCTTATTTTTTGTTACAATTTTTTGTGTGTTATCTGTCACATTCAGTAAGCAGAAATGTTTTCTGAAATTTAAAATAGTGGAGCATTTTAAGAATTTGCAGGAAAAAAGTGTTACAGATAATTAAGTACAGATAAAAGTATGTCTACATAAAGAGGAAAAATATATCATTATCTGAGCCGGTAGCTTAATAATTACATTTCTTCAGAATAAAAACAAACTGAAAATGGCAAGTATGAAGTGACCACCACGATTCTGTACTCAATAAGGCTCAGAGAACAAACTACTACCCGACCAAAACTACACAATGCAGACCATTCTCCCCTCAGACCCCCAATAAGACTAACACATCATGTGCCAGCAGCACCGTACAGAGCCTCAGCCGGTTTCAGTAAAAGATTTACAGCACTTGCAAGACAAGTGGGTCATATAAGTGTCGAAGATTACTAGAGGTGTTACAAGAGAGTAGCCCACAAAAAAATGCAGGATGCTTACAGTACCAAAGGTGTTTGTTTCGTTTTAGTAGAGGTTTCACGGGGCTCGCAACTGCTTAAGGTCGTATGAGTGCCAAGTGGTGGATGTCAACAAAGAAGTCCTTGCAGGGAATCAGACTTACTCTGCTCATCTCTCTAGCTTCAACAACACAAAGTCTGCTTCAAATATCAAGGCACCCAGGAAATAGCGGGTCACAAGAGTGTGACAAACATACAGAAGAAGTAGAGGAAAAGACAATAGGATTAGGAAAGAAAAAGCAGCATTCCCTGTTGCAGTTCAGTCAGTTATGAACATGACATTTATGAATCAGCCCATTTACAATTACAATTCTACTGTGCATAAGAACAAGGTAAATATCCCCTCTTTGGGAATGGCCTAAAGACTTCAGTCAGCACCACCGCCCCCCCTGGTGGTGGTGGTGGTGGGGGGGGGGTGTGACCAAAGGTTTTGCAACAGTTTACATAGGGTTAGGACAATACCACTCGTAAGTAAGATAACCCCACGAAAGACAAAGGATAATAATAAAAATGAAAAGGTTAGAAATATTGACCAGAGCACTCCTAACATGTCAATGGAAAAAATGTGAATGTATGCGGGGATAAAGCACACACGGAATCATCTGAAAAAAAGCTAGTTCAATTTTAGTAGAGGTTCTACGGTGCTCGCAACTGCATAAGGTCATATGAAAGCCAGAAGATTAGAGGTGTTACAAGAGAGCAACAAACATAAAAAAAGGGGGAGATAACGACGATAGATGTTTGATGGGAAAGAAGAAGAAAACCACACCAGAGCACCCGCCAACCACCCACAAAAAAAAAAGAAAAGAAAAAAAGCTAGACAAGTGATTCACACAAGAGGCAAAGACAACATATCTACATCAATTCATTTTCCAAATGTGTAGAAGGCACGCAAGGAATGCCCCCCCTCCCCCCCCCATTGAAGGTAGTTGAGTATTTCAGCACAGAAAGAGAAAGAAATCCCGTAAAACACAAAGAACAATGACTTACGCAGTGTGGCTGTGAGGCACACCAGGAGCCAATCCAAAGTGCCTGTATGCTTTGCGGGCCTTACGACCTCCTGAAAAAGAGAAACATGCCATGAAACAGAAATTCTTGAACGTCACCAGGGCAGATCTGGATAAGAAAAACATGATCCAAATCATCTCCATTTTTCAGCTCCTAGATAGGCATATAAAACAAATAAGTGAGTGCATGAATAGAATCTTTTGAGAACCCACAACCACACCAATAATGCTACAATTAGTGTGAAAAATGCAAAGTTAAAAAATGTATTCAGTACCCTAATCAAATGTCTACGAAGAAGTTTGTCAGCATAATTGCAACCATTAATCTTGGCAAACACAAAATTAATTTCTCATATCCCTTTCAAGGAGCTTTCAAAATGAACTAGAAAGAAACTAATATTAACACAAGTATTTTACAAGGAAACAAAAAGGGGGAAAAAATCAACTTCTTGCATTCGACTGCTTGACAAAGAGGGGAATAACCAGAAACTTTCTTGTGAAGAGGACAGCCAATACGGATGAACCACTATTGACACAACCTGATACCAACATCATTATGGTGATATTTCAAAATAAACTCTAGGTGCATATTGATGGTGTTATGCTTTAATTGGGCAGCAGGTCCATTTTTTTCCCTTCTGTAACTATTGCCAAGATTCATATGCGGGACATAATTAACATTTTTCAAAGCTGGCATGCTCCATAATGACATAAAAGTACTATGGGTAATACGTCTTTTCACATAATTCAAATCAGAACTTTTTTTGTACTTGTTGAAAACTTTTTAAGAAATCAGAGGCACATTAGGAGCATATCACTATCCATTACACTGCCATGACTTACCCTGGACCAACACAGTGTTCTGTCCCTTGGGAGCACGGAGAGCAAGCTGGTCAAAGGTAATGATCTCTCCACCAGCCTTCAAGATGCGGCCTCTTGCTCTTTCAGTGATGCGCAGAGCACACACCTGTGAACAGCAAAGACATCTGATAAATCTGAACTAAGAAAATGACCCAGTAAAGTAATACAGTGGAATCCTGTAATAACGAGAGGGAGGGGATCGGTGCGAAATGTCCGTTATAGCAGGATTCTCGTAATAAGGGATCCAGTTGTAAATTCAAGGGAAATAGGAAAGTAGGCATTATCTATGAGTCAGAGCTTCCAGCGGCTGATGTCATTTTTCGAGGATTATCGGGTCCAGGGCAGGGGGTTGAAGGGGGACAGCGTCCCCTTTCTGTTCCAGAATTTTTGGTTTCAGAGCATCCGAAGTATGCCATTTCTGGCTATTCAAGCCTAAATTTAACTAGAAAATAATTTAGAAAAAAAAAACATACCTTGTATAGGCCTACATAATTTTCTGCTTGTTAATCCATATATTTCCAAATCCATGCTTTCTCCCTTGTACAGATACTGTACATCCACAACTAGATCTATAAAACTTGACAGTTAATGTTTAACTTTTTTCTGATTGTGTTGGTTTGCACCATAATCAGCATAAGGTGTAGAATTCTTACAATAATAGCTTTTTACATTTCAATAACAGCTTGACTTTGACTTGATCTCTAGATTCTAGTCTAGAATCTAGATCTAAATAACTTGACAGCTATATTCAACATAAATCCACAACAATATTTACAAATAAACAAGTCTGGTAAAAAAAATCAAGCTCTCTTTAGAGATTTCTTTTCTTGGCAGGCCCAAGATCTATTGAACCACAATTGTCATTTCTTCCTCTTGTTTACAGAGCTGGTGCTGTGCTTCTTGTGCTTTAGAAAGTGAAAGTAGAAGACACTGTCTACACTTTCAAATAAAAGAGCACTTCCGGTATGGGTTGGCTATTGTTGACTATTGGTAATAACGGAAAATATTTATTTCGCATTTTTGAAAATAATTTTTTTAGGGGGGGGGGGGGGGCACGAATTTTCACGGAAATTTTTCCATTTGCGGAAATCCGCAAAATTGCGGAAGACTGGAAGCCCTGATGAGTTTGGTGTTCTGTTTATTCCTTTTTCCTTTTTGTATTTCCCCTGATGGCGATTTTGTTAAACATAATCTCTAGGTCTTACTTGATCAAAAATCGAATCAGGTTTCTTTCTCTAGCACTAGCAATGTAGGCAGCTCGGCGTTGGCGATCCGAAAGAAGGGGCTCTGACTCGTCTAGGCTAACTCGCCCGTCGTGTTGTCCCCCACCCCACCACATCCTGTTGTGTTGCGTCTGCTTGTGCACGTAACACATTAACTCCCATCTACATCTATCACAGCATTGTGACCTCCACATCCCGCACCAGAGAAGTGAGAGGCATAGTCATCATCATCATTGCCTTTCTCACCCTGGGTCAGGATATAGGCCACAAACAAACACTCTCCACCTTTCCCTATCCTGGGCTAGTCGCTTGATGTCACTCCACGTCTTCCCACTTTTCTGTACATCCATTTCCGTGACTCTTCTCCAGGTTCCATGAGGTCTTCCCCTTGATCTTTTACCCTGTGGGTTCCAATCTAACACTTTTCTTGTTATGCAGCTGCTCGACTTCCTGAGAGTGTGTCCAATCCATCGCCAACGTCTTCTTCCCACCTCATCTCTGACTGGCATAGTAGGCCCAGATAATCTAGACTGGGCTGGCCTATCACGCGATGCGTTCTACCTGTCTGAGCATGCCACACCCTCCATACTCGTTCGCTCCGGCCTTCATTGTGGTATACGTGGGCTCTCCTATTCTTTGTTTCGCTGGATCACCAACAACTTTCTCAACTGGCGAGGTTTTATAATATGAGTAATTGGTCTGTGCACTGTGCACAGCAGCAGCAACATTCCGTCATAACTGACTCGCGTGACTGTCTGATTGCGCAAGAGTATTTTATTTACAAAAATAAAAAAGGGAAAAAAAACAAACCCAGGGGTTTTAGAAAAATGTCTTTTTAACAGACCTCGTTATTTCAGGATTCATTATTAGTGGACTCCACTGTACAAATTCAAAATGTTCCTTGGCCAGCACAAATCTTAATCACAATTTCTCAGGAGAGGTTGTAGCTGTATTCAGTTATCCAGGCACAATAATCTCCACAAAAAAAATTAAGAGCATTAGACACATTTGACCCAAACACTGGTGATAAACAATGACAACGAAAAATTTATTTATTATCCAAATTGATTCAAAACAAGCTCAAATGAAAGTGGGGTAAATTTTAAGAACTGTGGTTTGAAATTTAAAAAATCCATTTGTAATGAACGAATGCTGTTATGAAATGTAAAAAATGGGAATGAACTATGTTGTGAATGTTGAAATAACCATTCTTTAAAATCACGATTATTTCCCCTTCTTGACACGTCACATATTGTCTCGTTTTGAATACACATGAGATCTCATTGTAAAAGAAAAAACAAATAGTAAATCAGTTTTCCAGCAGGTAGGCGAGCAAACAGGGTGATCTTCTTTACAAGTTTTCATCTTTTTATAATGTGAGGCCATATGCAGCCGTCACACCATCCCTAAAATTTTTTAAAAGTTATTGGGGGTTTTTGTTGCAAAATTTTGGGGAACTTCTACAACAAGGAAAATATCACCAAAAGATTGGACTTTTAAAAAAATGCATTTTGAGGGAAAACTGTTCATTAGTCAATAATGGATGGAGTATAGTAACGAAACTTACTCAAGGTATTGAATAAGCGTTGCCCCCAAAATTCCATACCTGCGTTTATTATTTTCCAGCTTGCCACGGCCGAAGATCATGTGAAACATTACATCTAAAATCTGCATATATAAAAGGAACTTTTTTTGTAATGGCAAATTACCCTCAGTATTAGTACCACTATCAGGTTGGCTACCTCAATTTTCCGTGCATTTTAAAAACTTTTGTACATTATCATTTTTTTAAAGGAAACTGGTTTGTTCCTAAATGAGAAGTCACAATAAGTGACAATAACTTACTAAAATCTCATGATCTCTTGTTTTTTTTATTCACAGAAGGAGAAACAAAACAAATGTGTTCCTACTAGTACAGGGGTATGAGGTATGCCCACCCCCCCCTTTTTTAAAAAGAATTTTGGACCACTTGTCCACTCCCTCCCCCTTTATTAGATACTTTAGAGTAGCAGCTTCATGTGATTTTTAGTGCTGAATCAGAGTGCTATAACTTTCTCTAAGTCTTAATTATTCTGGATCCTTAACACATTACACCCTAACTCGCCCGGAACCGCCCGCGCCGACCCAGCGTCTTTAGAAACGAAAGTCTCGCCTTGACGAGACTCTGGGGCCGGGATTTTTGATTTGCATAGTATAGCAAAAAGTTTCTTCTTTCGTTGGATACCGAAACTAAATTTTTCGGGCCAGTAGTTTTAGTATAAGAGCTGATCGAAGTGCGATCGCGTTACCAACACTTCGAAAGTGCCTCGACTTGTTGAAAAGCGACACAATTGAGTTCGAAAACGTAAATAACTATGGATTTGAGCAAAAACGAGCATGTGACAAATCAGATGGCTCAGATTTTGATGAAAACGTAGGAAGAGCTTGGGGCGATTCCGATTGATCAGACGGAGAAATTATAGAATTTAGATCTAGGGCCCGACTGCGAGGTTGAGAGTGAGAGTGACGGGTCGGACACCCCGATTGAACTAAAGTTAGAACATTTCCAACAGTTTGCGCATACATAAAGTTATATTTTTCTGAAACTACATTCAGTTTTCTTTTTAACTTTTATTTTTTCAGGATTTTTGGAATTTGTTTAGTATTTTTTAAATGTGTTTTTTAAAGGCTAGTATTCACGGGAGGTGGGTTCTTTCCCCTTGCTTAGGATCTAACAATGGACTTCCCGTCCAGGCCCTTAGGGTGTAATGTGTTAAGACCAATATTGGCGAGAAAATTTATTGAATTGCTTACAAAACTTAAGTTTTCAACACATGTTTGCTCATTGGACTACTTTGAATTTTGAACATTCTGGGCAGAAATTAGTTGAATTTACTCCACCTTGTACAGAAATAATTTAACTTTGATCTAAAAAGAATCAGCGCTGTTCTACAACTCAAAGTGGTATATATATATATATATATATATAGGAAAAACTTGCAATGGACTCATTGGTAACCTACTTAGCAATCATGCGCTCTCCGAAAGCCGGCAGGCGAGCTTAAAATTCATTGTATAACCTTGTTTCCACCTTTAGTCTTTTATCACTGGATGGGCAGTTATTTTAAGTTGGTACGTAAAATGTAGCCTCCAATACAGAGATCTGAAATGTTACAGAAATTTAGGAGACATAGGCGCCTGTCTGTTCGGTGTCCATGCAGCTCCTTTAAGTTTTTAGGGAATTGGGAGAAAAGCTTACTAACATGGCAATTTCTCAGGTTCTCGTTCATTTTTGTCCACAGGTTGTCCTGCAACTATGCTAACAAGAGTGCCACCTCTGACCCAGAACGGCCCCCAAAAATACCCCCCACATAGAGCCTGATTTCCGACCTAAAGCGCAGCGGGCCATTGTCATTGCTACATTTTAAATCTTAACTCACCAACTAGTAAACCAGAAATGGATGCAGTTTTATTTCATACAAGTTTTCATGACCTTTAAATGGACTAAAAACACCAGCATAGGTATGGGAAATAAAAATTACTGATGAAAACGGTTGTCAGCAGGGAAATTCATGCACACACAATTGAATTGAAATCGAAACTATGCTTCTCTGGATTTAAAAATATTCTCGATAGGGTATTATATCAGTTGAATTTGAGAGCTCAACTGTTTTGCAAGCATAAAAAGTAAAATAATTCACTTCACTCTAAGAAACAGCAATGTCATGATTGTATGGTAGCACAACTGTTACAGTAACGGTTAATACAGTTTTAAATTAAAGTTATCAAAAGTAAAGTTTTCAATACCTTCAACTTGGGCAAATTGTGAATGCGGATGTCATCGGTAATAGCACCGACAATCACAGCAATCTTGTTTTCACGGCCATCCTTCTTCATCATACGAGCCTTTAAAAAAAATGGAGATAATTTGATCAGGAAACTCAAACATGAATCTTTCAACATGACTAATCAAACAAGGAATTCACATACCAGATAGAGAAAGTTATGCCAAAGGACAATCCAGACCAAAGGAGAAAAAAAGGGACAAACCTATAGGGAACCCTGATAGAGAATTACACGCATTTCATTTCAATCAATCACCTGTACAAAATGAACATAAAAAAAACAACTACAACCCTTACTCAAACGTCAATTCAAAGGATCATAAGTCATAAGTGTCCAACTTGAACATGTATCTGAAATGCAACAAAATGCTGAAACTGTACCCATTATTATGCTAAAGATATGGGAAAAAAAAAATAAAAAAATGAAACAGTATGCACAAAATAGGACTGGTAAAGAAATTAGGAAAGGGGGAAAAAACAAAAACAAGCGGTAACTCGCAAGTTAATCACTGAAATCCCCACTCCTTCCCGAACACACTGAAATCCCCACTCCTTCCCGAACACACATTATCACCCCCTCCCTCCCAAAAAAACAACAAAAGTTTGTATGTTGTTGAGTTGAGAGAAAAAGTGCCTTTGGTGAGCTTGAAGCTTTCATGCTGTACTGTAGTGAAACGCATTAAGTATTCAGAAAAATATGAGCTACAAAATCATTTAAAATTGCACTTGATTTAGTTGAATCTGCGTGTTCATATAGCAATGTGAGCAACAAGTTGCGTTGGCAACGTCTGTTACCACCGACTTACTAGCACTCAATTCATTAAGCAGAGTTACATCTATGTCTAGACAAGCCATTCATTGTCCAGTAGCCCGGGAACAGGGTGGATATGATTGTGATGCCCCTGCATCTCTGTTGACTTCCCACACTCAAAACGCTGATATGCAACAGACCCCCCCCCCCCCCCAACAGATCTCTCTTGACCCTGGCACACACTAGGACATGCCGAGTCTTACACGCATGACAACACACTTGTTGGTGTGAAAGACTTCTGATCAGACACATAAGATGTACACATCAGGCTCGGGTAAGTATGTAATGATCCACAGAGAAAGTGCAATTGATGGTCCCTTGGAATAGAGTAGAGATAAAGTTTGTTGCAATTTCGTAGTATCTGAGTTCGTCATTTACGAGTTTGTTGAATCTTGTGTTATTGTATTTATTTTTAATGAACAGTAAACCCCCACAAAAACAAACAGGAAAATCTACCATCTTTCGCTGAATCAGAGTTCCACTATATTAACACAAACAGGAAGTAAAAGCACATTTGTGTTGCAATCTGTCATAAAGACACTAGATTTATTACAAGTCTGCCTAGTAAGACAAAACCTGCCAAGGGGGAGGCTAATCATTGATGTGCAATTTATGACATTCCTCTTTGCAAAGAACCATGCCTTTAATTTTCCTGGAATTATTATTTCGCCCAGAAATGAACTAAGTTGCTGCTCAGAAAACTTATAGAGTAGTTAGAATTTTGTCCCCCATTTACGTTCAAAGCAAGCACTTTATCTGTCTACTCTTATGCTCAAGTTCAAACTTTATTCTCCGAAGACTTAAAACTAGATCTATACAAGGTATCTGTCATTTTTTTGCTGCTTAAGAACCTGCTATATCTGATGTATGGTATCTGTTGTGTAATAATGTGTTACTGGTTAAAAATTTAAAAACTTATAACTTTATAACCTTTAGATCAGGGATCTCAAGTGAAATTTCTCACCAACCCCTGAACTTTGAAGGTCGATCCGATACACTTCCATAAATATTGTGCACCCCTCTCCTTTCCACATCAATTTAAAAGATGCAAAATAAACCAAAATATATAAACACTTCATTTACTTTTCTCTGGCTTAAGTTTCAATGGCTGTCTGATCTTGGCTTTGGCAGGTACATAAATAAATAATCCATGGGGTTCCAAAGAATTTCATAAATAGGAACCATAGTCAATAAGATAAAAAAAATAAATAAATAAATAAAGCCTCTTGTCAAAGTGATACCCTGAGGGAATTCTCAGTTTGTAGCCTGTCTCAGGGCGGATCCCAGACTACCCAAGGCCTACCGCCAGCGTGGTTAAGACAGTGGAACTGATGCCCGGAAGTTCTCGCAACCGTGGGAAATTGTGATTCATGTTAAATGTACAGACCGAATGCATTTTAAAAAATACCCTTGACCCACGGAAGTAAGTTAACTTACCAGCTTGGAAATGGACAGTGGTGGCCTGTTAGTCCTGCTCATGAAAAGCCTCTTCAAAACAACTTTGTTGAAGTTTGAGTTGGTTCTTCTTGCCAAGAAGCGGTACAACTGTGAATATTATTAAAAAAGAAATGAGCATTTTTAGTGGCCTAAAAAACCCCCACAATAATCAAGTCGGCTACTACAGTTATGTCACTCACTTGACCCTTTTAAAGCATCATGTAATACTGCAATGCAATCAATGCAAAAATATGCATGCATGCAACCCACACGGGCAATAATGCAGGTAAGTTCAAATAAATACATTATCTCAAAAAGTAGGTTAATGGTTAGCAGTTTGGCTAGATGTAATTTTTGTCTGATAACGAGAAGTGTTCGAGTTTAGTTTTAGTAAGAGTTTTGCGGCAGTGGCAACACAATAAGGTCATATATACAAGTGTTGAAGATTAGAGGTGTTACAAGAGAGTAGATCTAACATTAGGCCAAACAAACACAAAAAGGGAGGAGCGATAAGGATGGTAGATGTTTGAAAGTAAAGAAGGAACAAAGCACAGAGTACCAGAGCACCTACCAACCACCCACGAAAGTGGTTTACAACTGTGAAGAATGAATGAAATAGGATGATTGTATTAAAAAAAACCACAGGAATACACCAAGAGTAGTGAGATTCAAAAGGAGTTCCGCAGAGGGCCGGCCGACCAACAATACTTAACCCTAACTCTTGTATAGTATAGTTTGCCCAGTGGACTTTGTCACAGTAAGTGCTGGCCCTCTGCCAAATTCCTCCAAATTCAGCATTGATGAGTCCAAAAACGCAAATATTTTCTCAAAATTCAAACAAATTGAAAAGAGCCCATGTTACACTAACATGAAGCTACAGCGAGCACCTAGCATACCTCTGTGATTGGCCCAAATATTTCCGCCATCTATTTTTGTCGTCTTCCGAGGATTCCCTCGCCACTGGACTAGATCTCAGAAGCGGATAGCTATAGAACGACAACTAAATGCCACTGGCCGATATTTATAGCAACAGCCATCTTGTTCGCCACGTCATCTGACCGTGATACTAAAAATAGTGATTTTGCATAGCGCGGTTTGCACTAGAGGCTTCCAAGCTCCTTCCCCACAAATATTTCAACTCCATTTGCAGCCCACGGTCCTATTGAGACCAATCTCTTGTAAGTGTTTAATTTCTTGGGCTTACAAAACTTTAAAAGAGATGATGCGGATCGAAACGGTCGATTATTTGCACTGCGTTGTTGAACTTTGAACTTATTTTCGTAACCAAATTGACATAGGCATACTCTTCTTAGTTTGCGTAGTGTACAGCATCAGAATCAATCTGGGTGTAAGAAGGGTGCTGCACAATCACAGACAACCGAACCAAACAGTTCTGCAAGTTGCAAAGCAAAGCAAATAACCCCAAGTCGGCAAGCTGTCGTCGTGCTGCCACCATGACTGACAAAGCGGGAATCCCCTAATGACGTCAAACAAGACAGCTGTTATTTTAAACATTGGCCAACGGTGTGTAGTTGTTCTTCTCTAGCTATCCGCTTGTCTAGAACTCACCGTGGCGGGCCCTGTGTGTGCGTGCGTTGGTACGCGCATGTGTGTAGAACTTTGAGAAGGTAAATTTATGGAACGAGAATTGCTAAGATCGTTTATAATTGATGACAAATTAATACAAAAAAACATACATGGCGAGATCTAGAATCTAGATCTAGTTGACACAGAATTCTACGCTTTATTAATAGAATGCGAGTCAACTGGACTGGTGAGGGAAACCAAAGAGTCTTGGGGGAAACCCCAGAAGGCGACAAAAATAGATGGAAGAAATATGTCATCTAGATTCTACATAGAGTGATAAAACCGCTGCGCGAGCGCCTTCTCGGTGCGTGCACTTTTGTTTTTAGTCTCAAATTGCATTTCATTGAATGCGTCTGTGTAGCAGCCATTTTTGTTTACTTCCATTACACGTTTGTCGACAAAGGATCATCGAGAGTGTTTTTATCAGCCTTGGCAAGTTGACATTCAACACTGACCTGTGAACTAGTTTTGATGACGTATTTGCTTCTTATATTGGTTCAAATAAACTGCGCTCCCCTTAGCTTAAAAAATGTGCCTGCTCCTTCCTTTTGAGTGTTTCATGTGACCTTTTATTGAGTTCTATGCCATGTTGTAATGCGGGTTTCTGGATCGGTGTGTGTGTGTGTGGGGGCACGCATTGTGAAAATTGAAAAAACTTTGAGTTTTCTCTGCGTGTGCACAATGAAAGTGTAGTAGAATTTTAAGCCAAAAGTAGACTCAAATTTAGTGACTATTTGGTTGCAGTGTGATGAATGTCATGGATAGTGGCATGTGTGGACTGTGTGAAAGTTGAAAAGATCAGAGGAGTGAGTGATGAAGAGTTGGAAAGTGTGGATTTTAATTCTGAAAAAATGCTGTTTGATTTGTTCCACTAAGTATTTGAACTATTTATTCACCCTAAATTAAATTAGTTTAGATTCTAATTAAAGTTGCCTTACTTTGCTTCTAAAGTGACTTGTTATCTTCCTGTGTGGTCATTTAATGCAGAGGCCACCTCTATTCTCACCCGGGGTGAGAATAGTGCAGGCGAGTCTTTTGGCTATTCTCACCCGGTGCGCGTTCACCGTTATAGCCTAGATCTAGGCCAACAAATTTTGCGTTCACCCTAAACCACATAATTCTACACTGTGATAACAGGTCTGTGGGCAGTGGAGAGAGAGAGAGAGAAAGAGAGAGAGAGAGGAGAAGTGCGAGAACTTCCGGGCAAAACAAAATGGCGACCCGTGTAGTTCGGCTCGATTCAAACAGTGAAATAGCCATAGCATCTTTGAAGACGATCAAATTAGCTTACTTTTGTGCTATAACATAATTTTTTCTTGGCTTTTATCAATTTGATCATCCACATCGATAGAAAGTATTCCGAAATGAGGAAAAACAGGTCTTGTTTCAAACCGGGTGAGAATAGTCTACGGTCGCAAGTAGCAATGACAATGAAAAATTAAATTTTCATCCAAATTGCTTAAAAATGGACTTAAATGAAAATAGAGTAAATTCTAACAACTATGGTTTTTAAAAATTAAAAATCCATTGATAAATAAAAAAGTTATTGGGATTTTTGTTTGCAAAATGTTGGAGGACCTTCATATAGTTATAGGAAAAAATCGCCAAAATGTGGGACATGTTTTGATGTATTTTGAGGAAAAACTGTTCATAAGTCAGTAATGAATTGGAGCATAATAATATGAATGAAACTTGGCATCTCCATGTGATTTTTAGTGCCGAATCTTGTTCTGCTATCACTTTTTCGATGTCTTCATTACTTTGGATCTTAAAGACTGATATTTGCGTGACATCGTTTTTACCGCGACGCGATCACCCCTTCTAAAACTCAGTAAAGCGCTATCGGATCGGGAAAACCCGCGATGTAGTCATCGGTGACCCATTTGGTTATAGGCAGCCAATCACATGCCGCCTAGCGATCACGCGCCTCTTGTGTGCCGGCACCTCGCGTTTGGAATGCGCTATCAAGTTTCTAGATCTAGGGTTTTATCAATGGATGGGTGGTAATTTTAAGTTGGTATGGAAAATCTACTGAACGCAGAGATCTCAAATTGTACAGCAATAAAGAAGACATGTGGGGCGCTTGTGTGGTCGGCGATCAACCCGCAGCTCCGCTTAGTTTTCGAACCGCAGAGGAAATTCGCACAAACACGGCGATATCTCCGGTTCTAGTAATCGTTCGGGATTGTACGCTGGCATGTCGTTAGTTTAACCTTTCCTCTGGTTGGTTGCCGAGTTTCATTTATTTTCGTCCAGGAGTTTTCCCGTAACTAAACTTAGAAGAGAGTCACTTCTGATTCCGAGCGGCCCAAAAAATACCCCTGGCGCGGAGGCCAATTTCCGGCACAAGGCGCAGCGGGCGATTGGCATTGCTATCGCAAGTCTCACCCGGGGTGAGAGGTAGATCATTTTTCTATTCTCATCCCGGATGAGAATAGCCACTTCCTAATGCAGAAATTTTATCAGATATCTCTTCTGTTGGCTTTCAACTTGTAGACTCTAATATAGATTCTATGGGTGCACGCACAGTGAAAAGAACACCCAAGGTTGGAAAAACCGTTGGGCACACAACGTTTAAGAAATCTGGCGACTATATGAGCAAGACCATTTTATAGGTCAATAGTTTCTTGAATGGAATAGCTAAAAATGAAAGTACAAAGCCCGAAATGGTGGAAAATAGGTTAAAAAATCGCGGAGTGCGCGCGAACCGGCGACACCACTCTAGATCTCTATATTTGGGCCAAACACAAAGGTATGATAGGTGCTCGCTGCAGCTTCATGTGTTACACTACTACTATTCTAGAGTCTAAAATCTACTGATGGCAACTGCTTGATCATTGATTGTGATTGTTGATAGATCTAGATTAGAAATCAAAACATACACGCTCACACCCTAAGAATCTCCATAAAATATAACGTTTATTAAACCCTGGGCATGGCATAAATTGATAAAATTGGTCCAAATGACAACAACTTGAAATTGAAATAATATGCCTCAAATCCTGAAAGTTGTCTGCGATCAGTCCAAAACAATGTTCATGTGAGCAAGGAAATCACAGCTACCAGTAACAAAACACTCCCATTATCAAGCAAAAAAATTGTGCTTCATCTATAGATTCTACACAATAAATAGGTTCTTTCGTTTCCATAAAACAAGCAAATGATTGAAGGCCCCAAGTATACTACAAGTACTTACTTTTACCAGCAGTCGCAGGTAAATATCTTGGCTTCTCGGCTCGGTCCGGCGGACCTTCCTGTCATTTTTATGACAGATATCAATACCCTGGGGAAGAAGAATGGAAAAACAATCATTTTAATGAAACTATGCTGCATTTCTGGGCCTGATGTTCAAAGCTAAGAAGCGATTCATATGGATTTAGAAAGTAGTCTTCTCCAAAATCTACATGGGGCTCACCATCTTTCCAGTTTTCGGGCTAAAAGGAAGTACGTCACGGATTGTTGTGTTGAACAGGGGAGACAATTTTAAAGTTAAAACAAAGAGCGCCGGAAAATTGAGAGTCACGAAACGAAACATAAAATAAGATTAGATCTATAGCCTAATGTCCTTTTGGGTTTTTTTTTTTTTTTTTTTTTTTTTGGGGGGGGGGGGGGGGGGGGGTCTAAATTGTTTCGAACTGCTTCAGTCTATAAAATAATCTAGATTTAGAAAACACTATTCCTTAAGCATTCTGTTAAAAAGGAGCATGGCAGGGTAGGTTTTATACTCAAAGAAAAATATTCGCCATAAGTGCAGGCAAGAACTAGAGAGAGGCAGAGGCCTAGATCTAGTATTTTACACTGGTCAATGATGAAAAATGCTTAGCGACGAAATTTGTCAAATTTTACTGAAAATGATGCGCTGATTCCAAATGTGTTGTCAGTTTTGGTCTGTCGGGTCAGGGTTTTTTTCTTTCAGAATTCACATAACATAACTTTTTATATTTTTGACATTTTCTTTGAGGTAGAATAGTATATGTCATGTAATGTATAGCAGTATAGCTACAAAACAAGAGAAATAACTTAGTTCGGTGTCCACCAAACCAGAAAGGACCCGGTTTTTGTCGGGAGGAGGAAAATCGGTTTGTACGTTTCCGTCGTTCCTATCCACTAGTTCGGAAACGACACGACCATTCTGTTGGCCTAGGCTACTGGCATAGAGGCCTACTTATTAATATGTTCCGGGTGCGTGCACCCTAGACCACTGTCGTAGCGTGCTGTTTTTATAAATAAATCAGTCACAATTTGTTTTATGATGACGCCACGATTGAAGAGGCCTACTTTGCTAAGGTTACGCTTGAAAAGAAGGACAGCAGCTGAGAAAAAACATAATAACATCAGACACACCCAAATGTTAAATCAAGATCAACATGTTGCGAGTTTCATCCCTTGTTTCTTGACATCGGGCAAGATGGTGAAAAATGTAAAGAGTACCCAAGATCGAATAACACAGCTAGCCTTCGTTTGGATGTCTTTTAAAACTTTGGCAGAGCTCTTGGCAGAGAAAAGACAACTTAAGAGAAGCTATTTCAGCAAAAGAAAGACTTGTGGTCACATTAAGGACTAACTCATTATTTTGTTTCACTTGTTGGGAGTATGTCTGTTGCTCACGGGCTTGTATGTAAACGTATACATGTAACGATTAGAAATAACGTTGATAGCCCCTTCTCTCATATATGCACACAGTTCTGGTCGCTTTGAATCCAATCGCAAATTAATAAATGAATAAAAGTGTACTCACTGAAACAAAAAATTAACTTGTTCATATACACAAAGAAGAAATCACACACACACACACACACACACACACACACACACACACACACACACACACACACACACACACACACACACACACACACACCACACACACACACACACACACACATGCACACATACACACACAAACACGCACAAACGCATGCGGGCACGCACAAATGCATGAACCTATGCCAGTAGGAAGGTAATATAATAACTATATAATGGGCTATTCGGTTTGTGTTTAAAAAAATATTTTGTGTGATATATTATATAGGCCTATATATATGCGTTTGTTTTCCGATGGGACGGATTGATGTGGTTATGTTGTTTAGTTGGGTTGTTTTTTTTACTTTTCTTTTTTTTTAAAGGCTACTGAGAGTGAAGCCTATTTACCGCTGCAGTTTGTTTCCCAAGCCACAGCGATATATATAGACTTTTTTTGCTGTGCTTCTGGTCTGTTCAGTCAAAAATAAACATGCATGTTTTTTGGTCAGCTGGTCTCTTCAAGGGTCGAGTTCAAGATCAAACTTTCCGCACGTAGGGCTGTGACGTCATGAGGGGGGGGGGGGGAGTGCAAATTCCATAGCGTCCTACCAAACGACACGTCTTTTGCCAAGACGTGTCGTGTCGTTTCTGTTGACACTGCCGAACGGAATTTTCATTGATTTCTTTGGGGGAAAAAACCGGCGCTCCATTTCAACTATACCTACTTCCGAGAGACGGACGAAAACGGGTCGGTTGGTTTCCGTTTTAATGGACGCACCCATTAGTGTTTTATATCTTTTGTTTTTTTGTTTTTGTAAAGTGTTTTACGGCGCTCGCAACTGCATAGGTCATATGAGCGCGCGGGACACACCTAATATTTTCAGTTGGTAGGAAATTTTTGAATTTTGCCCGGGTGGCGGCCGAAGCCTACTCTTATCGATTTTAGACCACCAAGGGATCTTTAACGTGCCCCTTTAACACGGGCCCTCCGAGATTTTTCGCCCTTGTCCGAGAAGGCTAGGTGTAGATCTTTCCTACCAGAAGATCAGGGGTGTGGCAGAAAGACAGCAGTAAGGAGGAGCCGAGGAGTAGCAGTAGAAAGGCTGCAGAAAGAGTCAGGAGCCCAGAGGAAGGGGCAAAGGAGGTGAGGGGGTGGGGGCAGAAAGTGGAATTGAAAGCAGACAACAGAACATTGCTAGAGAGCTAGAAAGGAGGTGAAAGGAGACAATTTTAGAGAAAAAAATCCTTCGGTCGGTACCCGGATTCGAACCCGGGACTTTTGAATGAGAGGCCAACACCTTAACCTCTAGGCCACGACAGCCCCCGTTTTATATCTGTATAATGTCTTTTGTCATATTTTGTCATGACTTGTTTTAAATTTCAGATTAATTTCATTTCTATAATGCATTACATTGTATTTATACTTGCGCTAAAAGTAATGTGAGCTTAAATTCAAAAGACAATGCAGAAAAATCTAAACAGGGACTAATCAAAAGGAATAAAAAGCCTCAAAGGGAAGTAATACTTTCATGATCTTCTTGTAAATTTAATGTAAGTGATTTCCACTGTTTAGCTACTTCATTTCGTGAATTAATTCTTGTGTGCAGTATAAGTGTTCATCCAAAGGGCTTTCGCTGGGTTTTTTTTTTCTAGTGTGCCTCTATAATGTCTAGACTGAAAAAGCAATTTCCAAGGGTCAGTGGTGCCAACTAAGTTGAAGGAGATCAATTTAGTTGAATCTGACATTAGAATTAAAAGTGAAGGTGAAGGCCTATGACGTCACAGTTGAACAGGTAATGGGGAAAAAAAACCCCAGTCAGCCTTTACAGATCGGTGTCAAAACCTTCTTGTGTGTTACAAGACTGAAGAAAAATACAAAGCCCTAGTGACCGAGCTGACGGCATAGTACGAATTCCTCGGAGCTAGGATATCTTCAGTTTCTTCAGAGCCTCGTTGACTTCTTTCACATCGGCTGAAATACGTTACAGTGCAGACAAATCTATAGGCTAAGTGGCCCATGTTTTCACCTGAACGTTTTTTAAAATGTTATATAATGAACTGTATTTTTTACAGCTTAAATTTGTATTGTTCATACGGGTATACTATACTCATAATTATGAGAGTGGGGTTTAAGGGGTTTATGTTGGTGGGGGGAGGGCTACACCTGAAGGCTATCTCGCTTATTAGTGGATCAAATTTTACCAAATTTCACACATATAACAAGCATAGTAAGGAGTCTAAAAATCCACAATTAAATGGAAAACATTAGATCTACAAATTTGTCGGATGAATTTTTCCTAAAAGAATTAGAAAATTATTTTTTATGAATTTTTTTCTGAGGTAGATCTAGTAGTCAAATTTGCACAAAAAATCCATGAAAATCCACACTCAAAACACTACCAACAAAGATCTAAATCTAGATCTATTCCATAAAAAAAAGAAATTCAATTGACAAATTTTTTGCATTACATCTTTTCTTCATTTTGTCAAAATTTCATGAAGATCGGATGAAAAATGGTGGAAATATTTTTTAAAGTTTATAGAAAAACCACGTTTTAAGAAAAAAAGCGATTTAAAAAAATAAAAAATTAACTACTTTATGAGGAAATGGTAGTGACAAATATGCCATGTATGGCAAGAAATATAGAACTCAGGCTTTAGGGGTTTCTAATGTAGTGAAATAGTTGTAAAATAAGGCTGAAGAAGCTAAAAAATACATACAGCTCAAAATCCATAATTTTGAAATGAATCGGGACTTTCGGGGTGTAGCCCCCCCCCCCCCCTCCCCCCCGAATAGATTGAAGCGAACGAAGGAAAACAAATTGCGAAAGATCGAATTAAAATTCCTGGCCTTACAAAGAAAATCTGATACTGATACCCGATTGGTATGAGAATCATATTCGCATGCCCAAGGAAGGAGAAGAAACCCGGTCCGGTCCAGTGGCAGCAATGAAGTATCGTGTGTTCGTCACATTAAACTTTTTTAACGACAGACCCAAACAATACTATGCGTAGGCCTATCAGTAGTATGTTTTCCAATTTAGGACCTTGCATTTGTCAACCCGCTTCCTAAACCCCATGAAATCCAGATGTCTCCGTTATGTTGGGTTTTTGAACAAAAGCAAACAAACAATTCCACTCCCACCCCCCACCCCCCCAAAACAAAAGAAAAAAAGAACGACAACACCGAAAAAACACCCCCACCCCCCACTAGAATAAGTGCAGGCTACAGACCTACTACGCCCCTGAAAGTGGGGGGGGGGGGGGGTAGTTTTTTCTACGGGGGAGCAAATAATACACCTGCCGCGATACTGCGTATCGTAAGAGGCGACTAAAGGTGCACAGGTCTGGTCGCCCGAAAAGTGTCAGTTTGCGGAGGGCCATCTACCCGACCCAGTAAAAACAGTCAGTTACAGAAACACGGGCAAACACAGCCTTTCATTTTTCGATCTTCAAGAGCATGTGCGAAGGGACAAGTTGCAGGGTTGTACATGATGGCCAGCACACTGACAACTTTGACATCAAAGACTGGTGTGAGACAGGGATGTTAACTATCACATTTCCTCTTCATATTGACAGTCGACTGGCTGATGAAGGAAACCACCAGAGGACACAGAAATGATATACTGTGGACACCATGGGCACAGTTGGACGATCTGGATTTTGCAGACAACTTGGCACTTCTGTCGCACACTCAGGAACAGACGCAAGCAAAGACTTCAGTATTAAACAGCCTATCGGGGTCTATTGGATTGAGGATAAACCCCGAAAAGTCAAAGGTCCAAAGGACAGATACACAACGAAAGG